CAGAATGGAGTCTCAAAGGGGCCATGGCAAAAAAAAAAAAAATGGCTACTCCAGATTCTGTCAGCTGAAATTCCTTGATTGATGATGTCTGCTGTATGTCCCTGTTGCCATGGCAAGTGAAGTAGATCAATCCCATTGGGGTGAGACAGTTTCTCAGATAACCTGGTCCTGTGAAGGGCTTTAAAGGTGGTAACCAAACACCTTGAATTGGACCCAGAAGCATACTGGCAACCAGTGCAGCTCACGCAACAGCAGTATTATGTAGGCCACCCTCCAGAACTCTTTGCACTGCTGTGTCAATTGCAGCTTCCAAATAATCTTCAAGGGTAGCCCCATGTAGAGTGCATTGAAGTAGTCCCAAGTTATTTTGTAGACTTTAGTGATCCCTTCTAATTGATCTGGTCCTTGTGAAGCTGAATCTCTTATTGGAGGAGCAAGCCATTGCTCATAAGTCCCTATATTCACAATACCTCAAAATAAATTTAAAATATATTTTTTAAAACTGGAAAAAAATAAAATTTTGGGTGAATAGTAAATTTTAGAAGATCACTTGCAAGATTTCTTCCTTTTAAAAATTATTATGTTGTTATCGCTCTACCATTGTATAAGATTGTGAAGTGGCACAAAAAATTTAGATGGTGCATGGCAGCATTAATGGATCACAATATTTAATTCCATATAAAGGGCATCCTGAATTCCAAGCAAAAGTAACAAGGACTTGGCAGAGGAATAAATCAGATTTGGGTGAAGGTATGTGTGTCTTTGTGTGTCAGATTTTAATTTTGAATAATTGGCAAGTGCATTTTAATTCCATTTTGTTATTTTCATTTTTAACACTTAAATAAGAAACACCATTGTTTCAGATGCTCCGGGCTTACATTATTCCAGAACACCATGATCTTGTTTTAGCTTCACGGACAGGAATTATAGAGTAAATGAAATTTCTTATGACGACTCTCTTTAGAAGATGAAACAACAAATATCTCCAATAAAAGTCCATTCACATTGTTATCAGTAGAAGTGATGCTTCCCCATCAACACATTTGTGAAGCACATTCCTCTGGAACTGCACGTCTACATGAATTGTTTAGGAAATTGTATTTATATTCATTTCTTCCCTTCCACTTGTATTATATTAAGCTTCAGATTCTTTTGAATTATGCTACATACATAGTGATATTCAGCATGTGACTAATAAAACTATATTTTAATATTAAAAAATTACTTTGACGTATCCATTAATGTCAAACTTTGTTGACCAAGATACACAAGCAAACGAACACTGAAGTCTTGCTAGATTTGAATAAATTTTGTCTAAATAAAAGCTGGACAATGAAACAAAAACCATGTAGAGCTCCATGCCAGTCCCTCGTCTTGAAGAAGATAAGATAGTATTGTCGTGATTCCGTGCTAGCCTGTGTTCCCAACAGCTGAGTCTGGGGAATCTGAGGAGGAGGTGGAGGAGGCATTTGAAGGGCCATCAGGGTCAGAGGCAGGCTCTGATGAATTACAAGACTCACGGTTTGATGAAGAGCCTGAGCCCTCCAGTCGTGTTCCTGATGAAGCTCAGCTGTGTGGGGAGAATGAGTCAGATTTGGAGGACTCACACCTGATGGACATGATGATTGATGCTTGTAGACACTGGCAATTACCGAAAGCCGATCAGCAGCAGTCAATACGACAACTCCAGGGGAAGAGGAGAAGGCACTGAGAGGCAACGCCTTGGGACTGCTGTATAAAAAGGGAAGGTGTGGGCGGTGCTGGTTGCTGAAGGCAACCGTTGCAAAGTACTTCATGGGATCATGTTCTGTTAGTATTGCCGGTGACTACTTTTCTGTTTGCATTGTGTTTCGTGTAGACAATTTCCTCCATTTGGATTGTGTTTTGCTGCTTTTGTTTCTGGACTATTTGGCAGGTTGGTTACCCATATTAAAAGGGGTTTGTTTTGTTTTGAGTCTCCAGCCTATTTTCTCAACAGGGGTTTGGTCCTTGTGCCTTTAACAAGGATGACTACAGGCTGGGATAAAACAAGTATTACTCAGAGCTGGATAGTCAGCCACCATTGAGAATGGCTTGAGTTGGCTCTGTCAGCTGTGTGTTACTGCTCTGGGCTTACATTATTCCAGAACACCATGATCTTGTTTTAGCTTCACGGACAGGAATTATCTTGTTTACTAAAGTCCTTTGTATTGTGTGTCTGTGACCTTCCCACTCCCCCTTGTTTCTCTGAACTCTGTTGGAGAGCCAGTACATTCTCAATACCCATAGCAATAGGAGAGTAATAATATTAATTATTATGGTGAGTCCAATAGCCAGATAATTAGACTGGATTTTTATCTACCTATTGAGTCCTTCCCAAGAATAAGCAAGTTGTTTGATAGTGTTAAATAGAATGTCAGCTGTTCCATGTAAAGTTGCCGTTTGCAACCAACGGATGATGATTTTGTCAATGCCAATATTTATTATTATTATTGTTTGTAATACTATTAGTTAAGGTAATATTACATTACTTTCATGTAATAAATATTTGGGGGTTGATGGACAATTTGAAACTTCATGAAGGGGTTGATGACCTGAAGAGTTTGGGGGCCACTGATCTAGGAGCTCGAGTTCACCTTACATAGCATCCCCTCCTGCAGTTGTTCCCCACAACAACCACCCTGAATTGGGATGGGCTCATAGAGAAAGAAAGGGGGCTGTCCAAAATCACTCAGTGAACTTCTATGGCTGAGATTCTCCCTGATCCTAGTTCTTAATCACTAAACCACACCTGTAACTCTGGAGTAGATGGACCAACAGAAATTAGAACTCTATGCTTTATATTCTACCCATTTGGACATTGTTATCTCAATTCCTCAATGCTAGCTCGCTTGCTGGTGATAACGGCAGTGATAACAGTGGGCTAGGATTGTGAACGTTTTTGTCCCCAAGTCTTTTTCTACCCTATCCCAATCGAAAGACCTTTATAATGTACAAGATGTTAAGCCAGTGGCAGAACTTTAATGGTATTGTGATTGACACAGCTTTGATTTATGCAGATTGAGCTTTTAGATTCTTTGTTTATTCTTATGTATTCCCCTCCAAATGCATGACATGGATGGATCAGCTATTGGCGCAGGCTGTAATTGCCCATGAAAAATGTATGAGTTTCACATCAGTAGGTGAAACCTTCCCATTTATCGGTTGCCTCCTTAGCCATACAGAGAGTTGGACTTGATGACCTTAGCAGTCCTTTCTATTTTCATGATTCTATTATTAGGCATAGAACTGTTCAGCATTTTTTATTTTGGTCTGTTTTGTAGGGAGCTTTCCTGACAATGAAAAGTATGTCAACTATTAATACATAAATATGAAATATACTACGCTGATAATATTTAAAGAGGTTTACTTTGGTGAACAAAGAAAAAATGGCATTTGAGATAATGTAAAGAGCAAGTATCGTCACTTTTTTTAAAAAATCCATTCTACATTTTATATAACAAATATTTTAAATGACAGAGTGTACAAAGTCCCCTGTCATTACTAGAACATGTGTTTATTCATCTTACATAGCAAGTCTATTTTGGGGTGGTTTCCTGAATGTTGCACTTTATGTAGTGATTGATTTTCAAACAGGCACTTTTGATTTTCACAGTGGATTGTAGGGAAATGGTTCAATAAAATGTTATTACAAAAAAATCCATAATGTTTCCTATATTTAACTCTCTTGATAGGAGGGGTAGGCAGAAAAGTTTGAACCAATCACAGAGTGAACACCTATTAGGGAAACTGATATGTAGCCTAGACGTTCTCCACCAGCCCAAACTAGAAATTATATTGTCACTTCAGGAAGTTATAATCAGCCAGCTCATTTCTAATCACATTTGGAAATATTCAGTCTAACTACTTTATGGATATTAGAGACCTTAAAAACAGAGAGTTTAATTTGACTTCTGGTGAGTTTATTTTCTTTGGATTTCATGAATTTTAAACAGAGACTTAAGAGTATAAAATAATATACAATTGGTAAAAAGCAAAAAAAAAAGTAGGTAAAAGTTAGGCTATTGGAAGAAGAGGATTTTTTATTTATAATTTTAAAAGAGATTGAAAAGTTATATTAGCTTATGCTCAGTGTAATGAATTTTGGAAGCCATTTCTTTATTATTGTCTTTGTTTGACCTTTTCTTTTTTCTTTTTCTTTTTTTCTTTCCTGTACCTCTCGTTTACTTTTCTTTTTCCTTCTAGTTACTTTGTATTAGGTTTATTGTGTTTGCCAAAAACTTCAATAAAATTATTTTTTAAAAAAAGAAATCTAAAGAGTCCAGTTGCCCTATTTTGGTAGAAACCTATGTTGGATTGACAGGAATGCAAAAAATATACTAAGCTACCTACTTCATTACTTAAAATTCTGTATATCAGTATTAACCATGCTTGCAGAATGAATATATTTAAGTGACTGGAGAATTTCTGGTGGGCCAGAGAATTTCTGAAATCAAGTAACCCCATCCATTATTTTATATGGCGAGCATTAGTTATTTTATTCACTGCACAATATGCAGTACATTTCTTGAATTAGACATAATTGATCAGCTTAATGGTTAGTCGCCAAAGTAAATGGCTTAGAAAATTTATCCAATTGTGAGCCTATATTAAATATACAATAGTTCTCAAAGCCTTGGATCCTATTCATGGCACAGCCCCAGAAAAGCATGTCCAGTTTTCTTAATAGCCCCAAGTCTCCTTCCCCCAAGCAGAAACCAACTCTGTAGAAATGCAGATGTAAACCATTCAGGAAGGTTGAAGCTAGAAGATTAAGAAGACAAAGACACCTAAAATCTACATACCAAACTCTAAGAGAGGACATAATAGGATTAACTCACAGATGCCAAAAGGGCACACTCAGACTCAGGTCAAAATACATGATACAGGAAATACAAAGCTTCAAACAGGAACAGGAAACAACCTCAAGAGCCCCAGAGGGTATAAAAGCCCACTCCCTACATGTGCTCGCTCTTTTTTCTTCCAGAGCCATTATTTTGCCTGGCTCTCCTCTTCAATAAACTGCAACCTTCTTTTTAAAGCAGTCGCCATGTTGTTTATTCCCGGCTTGGACTGAACCACTCCAATACATGCATTAAAGTAATGGGGCTTAACTCTTGATTCTGTTGCATTCCAGGCTTCATTGGGTCCCCAGTACCTGTTATTTTCCCTGGAAAAGAGTTCCCATTTGTGCCAACCCTGGTTGCTCTCCTCATGATACAAATAGCAAGCATGGAAGAACCAACTGGGATTGCAACTGTAGATAATCAGTTAACTCCTTGTCCTATCCCATACCATATCAAGTTCTGATCTAAACTAAGCTTCCTATATCTTTAAACTGTAAGACACAAGGTATACTGGCTAATTTTGACATGGTTCAGAGAACAATACTATGACTTTTAATCAGAAACAAATCTTCATTGGTGTTTAATCTGCACATGAGAAGAAACATAGACAAGCAGTATTATTCCTGGCCCACAGTCTGTGGCTTTTGCTCTTCTCTACTTAAGGGCAGAGACATCATACTTTGAGCCATATCTAAAGTATGTTAGTGCAGACACATTTTGGGATGGTGGGAAGTGAAAACAGACAAGCCATCTACCCAAGCCACTAGATGACAGGTTCTTAGGAATGTTCATTTCCCTTTCATAACAAATTGTCAGCATTTGCTACATCCATGGAAACATCTACATGAATTGAAAGTAAAATCCTGAATCCATAGTGCCGACCCATTTCCAGTTTCTGTTCTTTTCTATAAAATCAAATAATAGCCCCAGTAGAACAGATTGACTAACATGAAAAAAAAAGGAAATAACCATTTCGAGTAGCGATCAATCTTGCTTGGATTTTGAATTGTGAAATAGCTGGTGAATTTCTGAAATTTGTTCTTCAAGAGGCACTGAATTTTATCCTTTGGGCTCAAGGGTAAGCTGTTGCAAAAGTCATTATCAATATGGACAAAATTTATTTTTTGATTGAGATTGGCAGTGAGTGATGTATTGAAGATATCAATGGTGATTTTATTTTCAGCTTCTCTGGTGAAATCTTTTGTAAAAGTCTAGAATAGACCACAGTTACAGTTAGATGACAAAGGTATATTGTGACTTAGCAAATTTAAACTTAAAAAAATAAGCAGTTTTCAAAAACAGTATGACTGCTGATAATGTAACCTCACTTTGGGATTTTAACAAACAATGGAAGTCTTAGCAAAAGCCAAATTCTGATTCACTCGTACTAAGGCCAGAAGAATCCCCCCCAAAAGGTATTGTCTAGGTATTCAATCTAGATTCTAAATATAAACATAACTTTGGGAATCTCTTTACCTGAATAAATTTAATTCTCTCGTAACACCACAAGCAGCATTGTTGCTCACAAAAACATGCCATGATCCTCTAGCTAATTCTGCCTGGACTCTGAAACCAGGCAGGAAAGAGGGGAGAATAGCCTTGGCTACTTATTGAGCTTCATAGTCCATGGGACTCCACCATATTCATCTTCTAAACCAACCTGCTCTCCTCATGGGCAAGGCAGGAGAATGATCCATCCAAAGCTTTGGAATAAGAACCAGCTGCTAGTCTACTCAATTTGTATAGGGAAGGAAGATCCCCTGACTTCCGGGTCCCAAAGAAAGGTCATAGGCTGAACTAAAGAGAGTATTCACCTTCTTTCTTATAGTCTGACTTGTTTCTTCAAGAACCATTTCTGGGTTTGGAGGAAAGGAGACCCCGGCTCTTCCCCCTCCCCCCAGCAAACTATGCAAATCCACTGTCTAATGTTAATGTTAAAGTCTGAATGCAGCTTTTCCAATTGCTTTACTGTCATATCTCCTAGAGGGAACAAATCCATATATAATTATCTATCTATATATGTCTCTAGCGATCCACCCATTCATTCATCCATTGAAAATGTTTGTTCGCTACATAATCCGACTGAATAAGGTTTACCTTCTGGGTCTCATTAGCTGCATGTTTATGTGATGTGATGTAATGTGCTACTGCATATTCCACCAAAGCCCCAAATATAAAGCTGAAGCAGATGCCCAGGTAAATGTCAATGGCTTTTATGAAACCATTGGCATTTGTTATTGACTTTCGGGACCCCATCATCAAAGTTGTCATTGAGAGAACTGTGGTCACACCTAGAAAATATAATAGGAATTTTAAAATAATAATAATAAAAAAGAACAGAGAACACTTTTGCAGGATCCAATCTGGGTCAGTTTTGTGCTGGAGCCCATTTTCAGAGAACTTCTCTCCAAAACCTTGGAAGAAAAAAACCTCTGGTCCCGGTGCCTGACCCAGATTGCATCCTGCAAACATTATCCTGGTACATGTATATTCGCCTTCATTCGTTAGTATATTCTTTTTGGGGGGGGGGGGTCTGAAGTTTGACACAGTAGATGGTTCTTCCATGGGTACCTTTTTATGAGAAGCCATGGATAATCATAATCACCTGGTATTTTTTGATATGTGAGAATGCTTTTTGATTTTGTTTTGAGCGCCACATTGCTAAATCCTGAAAGCTTTTGATGAGATGATAGCAGAAAATATTTCTCCCTTTTTTTTCCTCAAATGGATGAAGACCCAGGAAGAAAAAAAACAAGGGAAAAAAAGGGATGTCATGCATTTGGAAGAAGGAGACAGCTGTCCTACAGTTCTGCAAAACAGCCACATAACCAAATAGATTTTCCCCATAGCATTTACACTGTAGAAGTGAGGATGAATTAAAATCTCCATTCAAACTGTGACGTTGTCAAAAAATAAAATATCTGTTCTTTCTCTTTCTTTCTTTCTTTCTTTCTTTCTTTCTTTCTTTCTTTCTTTCTTTCTTTCTTTCTTTTTCTGTCTTTTTATCATCTTTCTTTCCATTTTTCCATCTTCTTATCCATCCTCAGTCAGACCTTTCTACTATCTAGCCTTCAAGGACAATTCAACTTGTTTTCAAGAGTAATACAAAGGGTCTTGGAATAAGTATAGCATGTGCAAGGGCATTACTAAATTTTACTCCTTCTTATATGAAGGAAAAGGAATATCCTATCCCAGTGGTGATGAACCTATGGCACGGGTGCCAGAGGCGGCACTCAGAGCCCTCTCTGTGGGCATGTGCACCATCACCCCAGTCCTAGGCCTTTAGCTGTGTTTTATAAAACTTTTTCGCTTTAGGCCTCCGCCGCCGTGTGCAAAAAAAAAAAAAAGGTTCAATCAATCAGTCAATTTCAACTTTTTTGGGAAAAAAAAGGTCTTGCAAAGTTGGAATTGATTGATTGAACTTTTTAGTCCCACCCAGTCTACCATTACCACCGCAGCCACGCCTACCCAATGGGTCACGCTCAGCGAATGGGCCACACCCACCCAGCATTCGACGATGCATAAGTGGATTTTGGGTTGCAGTTTGGACACTCAGTCTCTAAAAGGTTCGCTGTCACTGTCTTAGAACATCATATTCTTAATATTACAGAAAACATTAATGATGAGCAATAATGTAGTGATGGGAGATACATCTTTTGTGAAATTTGAAATTTTCAGTGAGTTGACACTATTATTAATCTCCTGCTTGAAAAATATCTGATAATGAATTTCCAAAACATTTGAGCATCCTCAGAAGACAGTGTAAAATATAAATACATAATATCCCATATTTTGATGTTGCTTTAAGATTGACATAGAATAGTATTTTAAAATTTTTATTTTACGTTTTTTTATCCAATACTGCTTTTTCAGATACCCTGTTAATGATGTTGGGCAACTTATAGCTTATGAGATTCTACCTATAAACCATGCCAAAGTCAAAATCATCAGGTGATGCCAACCAAATCATGCAATATCTATCATTTTTACATTCTAGATGCAAAGTCAAATAATTACTGCCTCTTCAACTTCCCATCCAAAATGTGAAAAAAAAATGGAAACTCCACCAATATGAAATTCTGCTGGGTATTCATTTAGCTCTAGACATTTTGCTAGCGTAATGTTTTAATGAGGACCCAGATTGTTGGGGGCAATGTAAATATATATATATATACATTGCTTACTGGTGTACACCGCTTAGAGAGTGCTTGCACTTAAAGCAGTATATAAGTCTCATAAATAAATAAATAAATAAATAAATTCTTACATTTAACATAATCTGTGTTTTTAACTAAGCAAAGTTTTCCTCAGTCCACCTCTCATTTTTGCATCTATAAAACAAGTGAGTCTTTTTTATGTCACTCACCGATACATGTTCTTGCAGGAACTGAATCCAGGGTGATCCAGAAAGAAACCCAAGATAAAATGACAAGTAGACTGCTTGGCACATAAGTTTCCAGAATAAAATAAAGGATATTTCTCTTAAGCGCAAATTGCAAGACCAGTCTTGGATAAATGCCTGGTCCAAGAAAGAAAAAAATGTAATATATTCTTATACTGTTCTTTCAGAGAAGGAAATGATGTGCTACTTCTCACTAGGCGCTAGATTACTCCAAAGGTTCTAGTGACGTGGTAATAATATAAGGTAGTGTAAACTGTAAAGGCTGAGCATATGATTTTGATAGGGTATCTTGCAGAAACAGAGGGAGCAGAGCAGAACTAGTTCATATAACTTGGCTTTGCTGGCACTGGTTTTCTCCTTGTAAATGATCAGCAAAATGAGAGGAGAGTTTTGAAGACCATTTCATAAATCTCCTCTTTACCCTCCAGAGGAACCCTTGGCTGTCAAACTGAGATGTCCATGACAGCCAATTGGCTTAAAAATAGCTTAAAGGCTACCATCACAACAGCCATGCAACCGGGGTAGAACAGAAGGCTTGTCGATCTATTGCCTACATCTCCTAAAATGTGATATTAGCCTTAAGATTAGCATTATTGTCAGTGCTGTTTTCAGCATGGCATGTAAAGCAAGAAAAGGTGACAAGCCACAAGCAAACCAAAGAGCTCACCCTAAATTTGGATGCCCAGAGTGGAGCCTTTCTACAATGCTATGTTTATTGCAATGTTCACCTCCGAATCACGTGGCTTCAAGAAGAAGAGTCCTTCTGCAAAAGCTGATGAAGCACCTGATATCAGAATCAAAGCTCATGCAATGCAACCAAACCAGAATTACCCTATCACAGAAAGATCTTTGCAGTGAATCAGCTGGGCCATATACAAATACCAAGTCAGATTTTTTGGCATACTGAGTGCCAAAATGGCTATTATAAAAGAGATCCACTGTGAGAAGTTAGCAATTCAGGGCAGGGCAGAAATTTTGGTAAACTATGAAGCAAGATTATGGGATGTGACAATATGGTGCCATCAATTAGTTCTCAGTATCACAGCTTGTGTTGTTGGGATTGGGTATCTTTTTCTTCCAGCTCTAAGGCTACTTTAGTCAGCAAACTGTACTGTCATTGTCAGAAAAAGCTTCAAGGGTGATCAGGGCATCGAAAATAGTTATATCCGACATAAACCTTCTTCTCCACACTACTTTGACTTCCACTGCTGATTTGTTACCTGTTTCTTGACACGACCTGGTTACAAGCGTGTAAAAATGTTCCACTGTGTACTGTGAGAGTCGCAAATTCTCAAGGCCATGGACAGAATCATTTCCCCTCAGCCACATGAAACGTACATCATTTTCATCATATCCCCCTAATGATAACATTAAAAAGAAGAAAAAGTCATTGAGTAAGGAGCTGAGTACCGGTGAGGATCATCCCAGCTATTGGCAAAAAAGAACAAAAGCCAATTAGCAATTTTATGAGAACCTTACTCTTGCAAATATGCAAGCATACCCATGTTCTTTCCTTGACATCAGTTGTAATTTTCCAGAGTATTGAATACCATAGTGGAGAATATATGTGGCTCAAGGTTGAGTTGTTGGGCTTTTTGATATTCTGTGAGCTTGTTTTGTCTTCCTGCAGATGATTCATTACCAGTTCACTGCACTGATGATGGTACCTAGCCAATTAATGAAACATCTGCAAGAGAAGCATCCTCACAAAACACCAAGAATGCCACAAACCTAGGTGCATTTTAAATTGGATTCAGAAGAGCTGGCAGATGGGAAGGCCACATCCAGCAGCCCACCTCAGCAACTCCTACTTTTTGATGCTGCCTTTATCTTGAGAGGAGTGGGCAATCAGTATTCCATGAGTGCAGATAATGATCTCAAGCCAGCTCATGGTAATTAATTCAGATTGATTATCCATTGGAAGGGGAAAATTATCAAACCAATTGTAAGTTTAAGATGGAGCAACAGCAATAGTTGCACTTAGCGAGAAATTTACCTTCAAGGGTAAAGACAAAGTAAAAATTCTTCACAATTTCATAGAAAAATGGAAAACACAAAATGCAGACAGATTCCGTGCATTCCTTCTGAGTCTTGGAATAACTCCTCCTTGAACCTCCTAGATGATTGGGTCCAGGAGCTGTCATGTTCTTTTATCTCTTCTATAGCTTCCCTTGATTCAAAGGTAATAAATTATTTATTTATACCTAGAGTTTTCCCTGATTGCCAATCTCTTTCAGGATGATTCCTATATTTCCCTTGCCTCCTTTAGCATGGCACCTTTAATAGCTCCTCTGACCGTTGCTGCTTCAGAGCAAATGAACAGAAAATTGCTCAGTTCTCATTTTTAGCTGGTACAGGAATGCACCCCTAACAAATCACTTGGCTGAGTTGCTGCCTATGAAAATTAGGCTAGAACAACAAGGGAAGAAAGAGGACTGCCAGTTATCCTTGTCATTTGAAATTTCCTTCCTCCCTCCCTCCCTACCACCCTTCCCCTTCCTCTCCCCCCCCCCCAAAGGAGTCTCTCCTGAAAATGCAGAGCATCCATATAATTGTTACAGACGTCATTTTTGTTCCAAGACAGAGACAGACAGAGATTTGCAGGCCATTTCACACTGTAGCTTTTGCCCTCTTAATAATGAGGATAAATACTTTGAATGAAACTCCCAATCCATCTAAAATAGCTATTTCTATAGCAAAATAAATAAAGGCTTAGGATGCAACTGTTTAACCAATTCAGATATTGGGACAAGTCTGCCCCTTTCCTCATTCCTCAGACATAAATTATTGCAAAATCTAAGAGGTGCACAGCTCTCCTAAAATCAGTGCAATAAACAAGCAAATACTTTAGTTTCTTGGTCATTGATGTGTGGGTCTGTCATTCAATAAAAAAGACAATATTGTCATGTAAAAAGCCCTGATGAATATCCCACAGTGAGAAACCGTGTTTTACCCTAGGCAAACATGAGTAAATCAAGTATCTAATACTACAGGAGGTTTTTATTCTCCTAGTACAATTTATCCAAATCTCTTTTTTCAAAATTTCTGCCTACCTCATAATAGTGATAGCTGCAGTTACTTAGGGAAACTAGGTAATAAATGACTTGTTTTTTATCTAGAGGTTGTTCATTTAGTATATTTAAATTGCATTAATTCTAGACATTTATCATACTGGTTTCTCTTGTTGGCAATGTGCATTTAGTTTAATAAGAATAATATTATATGAAAGTTTGATAGGGGAACCAATTATTTTCTCTTTTTTGTGCCAATTTTTTTTAATGCTAAAACCAGGTACATATTAAAAAGAAAATTAATCATTACCGTTTTAGTTTTCTGCATTGTAAATAAAGTTAATCATGCAAACTAATAAGATTTTAATGTGAAAATAATAGTGGCTTTCATTGGAACTTCAATCTAGTAGCTGGGAACTAAAAATTGGCCCTCATATAATGAGATTTAAGTAATTATTGAACAAAGAGAAAAGTCTTCAAGTTCTTCAGGCTTCATGTGCGTGTCCAAGCAGGAAGCATTGAGAAAATGTCAGAAAGGAAATAGAAGCAGTTGAGGTCGGTATATGTTATGGATTGATAAGAGGATGAGAAAATACTTCCATTCCATATGCAAAAGGCTGTAATAGTTGCAAAATAAGAGATGAAAATGCCACCTCTTTTGGACACATTTAAAGATGAAAAATTAGTGGCAAAGTCACAAAGGTGCTAGCACAGTTGGAAAACCATGCTTCTTGGATGAAATGTGCTAAAAAATCCTTTAGGTGAAAAGGTGGCATGTAACAAGTAAAGCTACTAAGGATCGGGATGATCTTTATTCACTACCCAGGACCCTTGTGTGCAGGAGATGTGCGGTTAAAAAGTAACTAACTAACTAACTAACTAACTAACTAACTAACTAACTAACTAGATAGATAGATAGATAGATAGACAGACAGACAGACAGACAGACAGATGATGTTCAAGCAAACCTGCTTAAATTTAGCTGTAACGTTGTTGTTATCCAAATGGTATAAATAATACATCTAGACCAACAGAAGAATGGGGTTGTTTAGGGATCCGGATTGATGGCCTCCTCTGGAGCAAAATTTGTGACATAATGCTGTAATATATTGCAAGTAATTCAATTTCAACTCAGTCCAGTAACAAAAAATGTCAATTTAATAGTCACTTGTGCATTTTTTCTGGATTTTGATTGAGCTGATTAAGAGCCATGGTGGCGCAGTGGTTAGAATACTGCATTGCAGGCTAACTTGGCCGACTGCCAGGAGTTCGATCCTGACAGAGCTCAGTGTTGACTCAGCCTTCTTCCGAGATCGGTAAAATGAGGATCCAGATTGTTGGGGGAAATAGGCTAACTCTATAAACCACGTAGAGAGGGCTGTAAAGCACTGTGAAGCAGTATATAAGTCTAAGTGCTATTGCTATTTCCTAAGATACTCTCACTCTCAGCTAGCTAGCTAGCTAGCTAGCTACTAAGGAAATGTTCTTGCACATGCACCAGGTTTGTCATTTCTCAGGTTAAAGTAAAAGTTGATAAGATTTTGTTCCATCTTCCTTGTTCAGATTTTTTAAAAGTGCCATACTGAAGTGAATTAAAGGACTTCAAAACTCCCCAAATCATGAGAAGACTTTAAATTGATGCTAGCCAGTGTTCTGATGGCTAGAAGTTCTAATCTAGCTCTAACACGGAGTATGTACCACTTCTGCCAATAAGGGTCAGTAGTCAGTATAGTTCAAGTACAACAAATGCTCTGAATCTGGAAATAAATGATAACAGCAGAAGAGATCTCTAAAGATATTTGGTCCATTTGAATCGCTGACCTGCTGAACACTGCAGGCCACTTTAGCTGACTGTGTTCAGCAGGTCAGCAGTTCAAATCTCACCGGCTCAAAGTTGACTCAGCCTTCCATCCTTCCGGGGTAGGTAAAATGAGGACCCAGATTGTTGGGGGCAATGTAAATATATATATACATTGCTTACTGGTGTACACCGCTTAGAGAGTGCTTGCACTTAAAGCGGTATATAAGTCTCATAAATAAATAAATAAATAAATTTCATCCCAAAGGAAATTAAATCGGTTTTAGAAGGATTTACAAGGAATAGATTTGTCCTGTATCTCATCTGGGTCATAGCTCACAGAAATGTCCCAATACATCTCTGAAGTCACAGGTCCAAATTACTGTCTGAGCTGAACCCTAACTAATCTACTGATTAACTACCGTATATACCGGTGTACAAGGCGACCCGGCATATAAGACGACCCCCGTCTTTATCGCCGGGCCGCATTCCTAGAACGTCGTCTTATACGCCGGAAACTACCAGTATTTCCAGCGTATAAGATGACTCGGCGTATAAGACGACCCCCGTCTTTGGCGCCAATTTCAGCGCTCGCGGAAGTCGCCTTATACGCCGGCATTTACGGTATATCATAGTAAGAGCAGACATGGTGATTTGGAACCCCTTCAAGACTGGTGATTGCTTTACTTGCCTAATCTTCCTGTATCTTAACAATTGTTGAGTTATTTTTATGTGGAATGACAAAATTTCCTTCATTACATTTGAATTTCTTCAGATATTTCCTTACTTCCTTACGTGCTGTTTTGTTTCAGTTGCAGATCCTGCAATGGGTCATGAGTGTTACATTGATACTGACCACACGAGGATTACTTGACTGAAATGGAAAACATCTTTCAAACCAGTATATTATAGAAGCAGACTTTTTTTTTAATTTTCAGCATCAATCAATGCTCTTCATTATACCCCAAAATGCTGTGGTGGCAATTCTAGAGAACTTGCTCCCTTAATAGTAGCTCTGAACAGGGAGGAACTATTATAAGGCCATGTTTTGTAAAACTTTAACAATGATAGTAAAAGTCTATTGAATGCCCTCACCCAAAGCCAAGAAATGTTACTCTGAGGATGGCAATCTATTGCCACCTCTGTCACATTTCCTGAAAGAGGCTTTCAAGACCACAAGAAGCTGAAAAATATGGAATGACGCAAAACAAAAGAGCACTTGCCCCCAATTTAGCTTATTTTTAGGTAGATGTCAGCAACGTTTTCCAGCACATAATCAGCCCATTCATAAAAGCTGAATGCATAAAGATTGGTGTAAAGTCAAGATGCTGGCCCGTCCAGTTGAATATGGCACAGCTCTTTCCATGCTTTTCTGTAACATTAGAATGAAGTGAAAAATCTTTAAATAATTCCATAATTAAAAGGATAAGTGGAAACCTTTACAGTCAAAAATACAAATGAGATGTTCAAATTGGTAATCTAATTATGCATTAACAACTCAGACCAGACAGAAGAAAAAAATGTTCACTTTCCTCTAGAATGAGATACTTACAGCTTTCCATCTGCAACTTACAGGTCTGTGTATCCAGTGGATATTTGGAAAGATCCATGTTACATGCAACAGTGGTGGTGATTCTACAAAAGGAGAGAAGCCAACCCGATATTTATTATTGGGAGGGGTTGTCCTTGGTGCTCTCTGAGCTTGCTTGTTTTCTTGCAAACATTTCATTGCCCAAACTAGGTAACACCATCAGGGCTAGTAAGGTCGTTTTATATTCTGGTGTCTTGCCTATCTGAGTGGGTGGGGGGAGGTCTTAGGGATTCTTTGGTTGGGCTGTTTACTAATGACTCTTTGGCAGTTTGTTGATTGGGGTATTGCTTACTTGATTGTTGGTCTGAAGGTGACCTTGGAGTTAATCTATGCTGATCTGAGTGCTAATTATTGTTGGGGAGGTGCTGGAGTCTTTTTGTTCTCTTTTGGGCTGTTGTCTCTTTTGCATAGTCTATAGATATTGTTAACGTCTATGTGTCTAGTGATGGCTGATATGTCAGAGTGCCAGGCTTCTAGAAATTCACTGGCATTTTTGGATTTGGCCTGGTCTAGGATTGTCACATTCATTGTGATTCCTCACCAGCCAGTGGACCTGGCAGCTGAGTCTGGGGAATCAGAGGGGGGGGGGGGGCTGGAGTGCCATCAGAGTCAGAGGAAGGCTCTGCTGAGCTCCAAGACTTACAATCAGATGAGGAGCCAGGCCCCTCCACTCGTGCTCAGGCTGAGACACAGCTGTGCTGGGAAGCTGAGTCAGACTCTGAGGATTCACAGCTGGAAAACATCATAGATGCTCGCAAACGCCGACAGGCAATGAGAGTTGGACAGAGGAAGGCAATAGGACGGCTCCAAAGGCAAAGGAGAAGGTATTAAGAAGCCACGCTTTTGGGGATGCATAATAAAAAGGGAAGGTGTGGGAGGTGCTGGTTGTTGAAGGCAACCGTTTGTGAAGGAATCAAGTTTTATTGAATCGTGTTTGGTTTGCCTGTGCCTTTGGAACAATTTTCCGTTTGAGAAAAAATCAAGTTTCATTTAATCGTGTTTGTTTGGCCTTTGCCTTTGGACATTTTGCAGGTCTGTAAATAAATAATAAAAGGGGTTTGTTTTTCCTATGTTCCAGCCTACTTGTTGGAAGAAGGGTTTCTCCTTGTGAGTTAACAAGGCCTCACATAGGCTGGGACAGAACAACATTTTCCCAATTGAAACTATGGTTAAATCTGTCTATATGTTGTGAAATTAAATAATTTTTGTCATGCCTTTTGACTGCCATTTATTATGGGGCATCTGTATGCTTCAAAGCAGTCCATAGATGGCAATGTTTCTGCTTTGAAGATTAAGCAACTGTTAATACTTATTGTAACTGCAAGTTACACTTTTTTTGATGTCTATGGAGATTCTCAATCTTCCATGTCATAGTTGTCCCAAAAGTGCTTTTTCCAAAATTGGACTTTCTTGGGTTTTTTTCTTTGAAAATGTTTCACTTCTCATCCAAGAATCTTCTTCAGTTCTAACTTAGAGCTGAAGAAACCACTTCAATGAGAAGCGCGATGTTTTCAAAGAAAAAAAAAACAAGAGTCCAGTTGTCTTTTGGAAAAAGCATCTTTGAGACTTTCCTTTGATGGTTAGCATGCATCTAGATAGCTTCACTTACAAAAATAAGAGGACCCAAGATATTAGTCCATTAGATACAAACTGCTGACTTTGTGCAAGAATGGGGTGTGCTCTAGTGCAGCTTCCACATAAGTGCCATACAACAGATCCTGGAGATCATGCATATGGTTGGACTATATTTTTTATATAAAAATGAATATGAATTGCTTCTTTTTTATTTGGGGGTGGGTGGATGGGTATGACACATTAGCAGAACCAAGTTAGGAGTTTTTGGCATGCTGAGCCCCAAAAGGTTTGCCCTCACTAGTATTGACTGCAGTAATCTAGATGAAAAGATGTAAGATTGTGGAAATCAAGCTATTTTTACCCAGGTAGGACCTAGATGCCAACATGCCAGCCTAAGCTGTTACAAAGCCCTCTATGCAAAAGAACATTGATGGAGCGTCAAACATGATCCTTTAGGGGAAGATTAACCCCTTTCAAAGTTAGTTGAACCACACTTTTCCAACCAGCCCATCTGTTCTCCAACTATATCTTCATCTTAGTGGACTAAGCATCCATTTACAGACCCTTGTTTAGAACTGGTGTATTAGAAGGCAAGCAAGACTTACCGCAAAGCATACAAGACAGTCCCATTGGAGAACAACCGTATAAGCCGATTCTCTACTGTAACTTCATGTAAGAAAGATCTTTTTGACTCCACAATATATGTGTCAGGTAGCCATAGGTATTTCACCAGCCGGGCATCCAGAGTAAAACTTCGGTTTCCCTTAAAAACCAGACGGGGATCGGTCCAGCGTTGTCGCAAATATATTGTTGCAGTATAGTCCTAGGAAGGATGGTGAATCATGAGAATTAAGACTGTGGTTTTTGTAATTCGAATAAAATTTACCAGGCAAGGACTTTCAACAAGAAATGGTTCCATCATTTTTTCCAGAATTAACATTAAACATTTAACAAATTCTGTCCCTTGTCTTAATAAGTACTATTTATAGGTACCCATGCTGAACTATGTAGTTCTCAAATTGCTCTATATTCTTTCTTTTTTCTTTTTGTCTATAAGACCATAGAATTGGAAGGGGCATTAAGAGGTCACCCAGTCCAACTGCTTGCACTCTATTGGAATCAACAGCAACAGACCTAATAGATAATTATCCAGACTCTGTTTTTTTAAAAAAAACTCCAATGAAAGGGCTAAGAGTTTCCGATGTACTATTCCAGGCCATAAATACTATTGCATAACTACCCAACATTGTTTAAATTCATACCTTTGAGGCAGATACAATCTGGGTGTGGATGAATCTTTTTGTCTGCCTACATTTTTAGGTTGTCCTGTGTCAAGTCAAATATGAAGCATTCAAATATCAAGTTTTATTTTATTTCAGTACTGGCTGAAAAAATTTAGTAGGTTGTTTTACAGGTTTATGATCTAGGCTCAATTTATTATTTGAAAATGAAATTTTAATGGCATGTGTGGATTATTTTGTATGAATTAAGGCTTTAAAATTGTAGAATACCTATGACAATTTGAAATGTGAATTGTTTTGTATTTTTATTATTGGATTTTCTTTTAGTTAATCTCCTTTTGCTTCTTTTGAATATATTATTATTTTCCTTTTCTTTGGTTTTTCTTTGTTTACATATGGTCTTGTTTAGTTTTTTTTTCCTTAAATAGTTTCCTTCTCTGTACAATTGTTTTTGTACAGATTTTATACAAAAATAATATTTTATATAAAAATAATATTTATCTATGGTCATAAACCAAAATTTCATACAGTACTAAGTACCACAAAACATGAAAACACAAAACACTATAAAACTAAAATGGTAGATTATTAGGCATCATGAATATTTATACACAAACCTGTAAATAACCACTACTAATTTTAATGATTTTGAGAAAAAATCAATTATAATTCTAAAATATCAATAAAATACCCACACACATGCTCACACATACACATGTGCACACATACAATTGTATGCATGTTTGCATAAAGAAAAAGCATTCAGTGTTTAATTTTTAACTACCGAAGACATACTGTGGACTTCCAGATTTTATCTTCGTGCTGTGAGGAAGAAAACCTGTTTACCTAAATGATTGAGATAATTCACCATTATGCATTTCAAAGCAGTGAATTATTAATCCCTGCAATGAAGGTGAAATCCCCTGAGTCATTTATACTTCAATTATTTATCTAGACCTAGAATACATCTATATAATGTTCTATGTGAGACCTGGACAATACACATGATATACAATAAGAATCACAAGTGGATGCAGAAAATATTTGTTGATTAATAGCTCGGATGTAACAGAACAGTTAGCCTCATGAAAGATTATGTCAAGCTATCTAATGTTTCCTGTATGTTCAAAACCTCATTAGATCACAACTTTCTTTAGACTGAAAAATGTGTTTTAAAGGCAAGGCTCATCTCCAGAATGTTTTACTTTAAGAAGATAACTTCCAACATTTCAAATCTGAAAGTGTCGGCCATTTTGTTTCATGGAACTGTTTGGTACCGTTCTGGATGTCGTACTCCCCAAACTAAATTATAAAACAAATTAGCAATGAAATAAAGATAAAACTGCAAATTAGTGACAATAACAGCATCATCATAAACAAACATAGATGTAGTAGGATCAAAAGTAACTCTGAGATACTCCCATGAAACAGACTTGGGGGGGGGGGATCTTTCCTTCCTGAGTCTAAATGCTGGGGCATTTAGATACACATGACATGTCTCAATTAGGATTTTCACTAAACAATATAACACTTCGTGGATGATGTTTTCTTGATTGATTGAATATAATACATTGGTATATGACTAAACAAATGTTATGTAGAAAAAGAGTAGAAAAAACCTATATCCCCCAGGCCAAGGAAGCAGGTAAAGCACCTCTTTTAAGGAGACCTCTTCATTTGTTTTCCTTTGGTCCATGAGGCAGCAATAAAGAAATAAAATGTCTTTATTTGGCTCTGTCCTCACAGCCAGTTTCTATTTTTCTTTCAAACAGGGTTACAGTTCAGAAGTTAAGGAAAGTGATTGGTACATTTTCCAATCACCTTCCTGTTCATAGAGGAAGGGGGGGGGGTTGAGATAAAAAAATAAATCCGTGGATAGATGGGAATCTTTGGCTCACTTGCTTTTTTTTTTTTCAGGAAGCTCCCATTCACAGATCAGATGGTGCAACTCCCACCCACCCCATGACTGATCTCTTTATGTAAATAAAATGCCCAACCTGTGCTTCACTATGGGTGCTTAGTGCCTGTTGCGTCTGCTGCCAAAATTAAAACAGTCAGAGAGGGGTGGGATACTGCTGATAACAGCCCAGTAGAGCCAAAAAGATGCCAACCGCAGTATAATCAGCCCCCTGGTTATTTCTAAACACACAATAATGAATGTGGCAAGATTTATACTAGAAAAAGAGAGAAGACAACACTATAACACTGAATTAATTAAAGAGAAAGCATGTGGCTTCAGCTGTGGATTAGAGATAAGACAAAGGAGATGAAGATATGTCTGTCAACAATGGCTAGTGAATTGTCATCAAGATACAGCTAGAAGGGCAAGCCCTAAAGCAACATTGATATCCCATTGTTCCTGTATTATGAAATTTGAAAAATAAAATCTCGTGCATAATTACTCAGTAGCAGTTCTTCAGATCATTGAGAGACTTTAGTGAACTGTTTTACCTAACCTGTTACATCACAGTCCCAATGTCCACTCTGAATTTGTTATCAATTCCACTGAGGTGTGGACAAAAAGTTCCTCATGATAGAACGAAGCGTGATCCTCAAAACCAGAACATGAAGCAAAATCCACTTCACTTAAATGGTCTCTCTACCACTTATATAAATGATCTTGAAATTTATTTGGCAAGGAAGGAAAACCAGAATTAAACTGAAAATGCTACAAGAAGCTAAAGAAAATGGAGGATTTGTACTACCAGATTGGATCTTATACTACCAAGCACGTGCTCTAACATGGTTAAAAGAATGGATATGCCTTAGAAACAAAAGGTTGTTATATTTAGGAGGACATGACTTGCAACCTGGATGGCATGCATTTTTATGGTATGAAAAGAATAAAACCCATAGATTTTTTCCAAAACCATTATATAAGAAATGCATTATTATTTGTATGGGAAAAGATAAAACCAAAATCTATACAAAAATCCCAGGATGGCTATCAATGATGGAAGCATTCATTCACCCAAACTTAGTTAAATTTGAGAAAATTCTAACATATAAGGATATTTTGAATACAAATGGAAAATTAAACTCTAAACAAGAGTTAGAAGATCAGGGTATTGACTTATCACGATGGCCTCAACTGCAAATACAATCAAGGTATGATAAAGATGTTAAAATACACATTTTTATAAAGACCAGACAATGTTTGATCAGGTGTTGTTGACTTCTAATATTTTATTAGTTTTTTAATTTTACAATTAAAACATTTTAAAAGCAACGTGGTTGCTGGGTAGTCAATAATTCAATAACATACATAAATCTTTAGTACAAATCTCAAGTTATAACATCAGATATTTCCTCTCTTTTTCCCTTAATATCTACTATCTCATATTAAGCTAGTATCTTATTATTATCAACTAAGTAAAACCACCTTTGTTACATCTATCAATAATTTTTAGCTTATACATATCTTAATTGTGTTTACATTCAATCCTTATATACAATCAATGTCCTGTTATTACCTTTTTCCCAAGCTTTAATTTCCCCTCAATATTCAAATTAACATTTGGTATTTATAATTTCCAAGCTGTAGGTAACCAAAGTTTCCCTTATCTCAACTTCTTCCTTTTTCCCTTTTCATAACAAAATCTAATATTCTAAATATGCATCTTATCTATTTGCATATCATCATTGTTCTGTTTCCCCTGGGTAGTTAGTTGCCGCTGTTCTTAGAGGGTGGGGTAGAAATTCCCTTCTCTCTCTCCTCACAGGGGGAAAAGTACTTTGGGCAGCTTTTACAGGAAAAGATATTTAAAGTCTTAAAGAGAAGATCAGATCCCACCCAGTTTCATCCACATTGCTTTAAAGGTGCTTGGTAGTAATTTTGACTTCGGCTGTCAGCAGCTTAGTGACAAGCCATATTGCTATGGCTGGTCTTTCCCCCGCTGGTTTGGAGAGCTGCCCTGGATCAAGCAGAAGAGCTGTCACCCTCCCGCAATAAAGTGGGGATCCCTTCCTTGCTTGTCACCCCTACAGGGCGACTTTCGACCCTTTCCAGGGTACCTCAGGGGGATGAATTCAGGCATGGAAGACGGAGCTCGCCTTTCTGCATCTGCAGGCGCTGCAGTGGCAAACTGGAAGTCAGGTGTTGTTGACTTCTGATGAAATACTGATTAAGAAATTGTATAATTTCTTATATTGAATTTGAAAATGGAAGATGAACAAGTGAAAGAAACAATGATAATATGGGCAAAAAAATTTGGATACAATATAGAATTAGAGAAATGGCAAAATCTTTGGGAAAGAAACTATAAATTGACAATGGCAACTTCATATAAAGAAAACTTATATAACATGTTTTATAGATAGCATATTCCGCCTGTCAGATTAGCAAAAATGTTTAAAAATGTGTCTAGTAAATTCTGGAAATGTAATCAAAATCCTGGTACATATTATCACCTGTGGTAGACATGGTGGACATGTGTTAAAGCAAAAATACTTTGGACAAAAATACATACTTGGTTAGAAAAGATGTTAGGAAAACACATAGATTTTAAACCTGAACTTTTTTTATTAGATATAATTCCAGAAAGATTTGATAAACAAAGTGTATATTTAACATTACATGTATTAACAGCAGTGAGGATTGTATTTGCCCAGCACTGGAAAAATGAAAAAGCACCATTGGATGAAGAGATAATCAAGAAAATACTGGACTGATAAGAAAGTGGGAATTACTTTAGTAGATGAAAATTTGGTAATTCAGATCAAGGATCAGAAATGTGCCCATATTAAAAGAATTTATAATGAGTTAATAAAATTGGATTCAGAAACAGAGTTAGTTAAAGATTGTATGATTAAATGGGCCCAGAATATTCAAGAACCAATCTCGTTGGACCTATGGGAGGTAATTTGGACTAGAAATGTTAAATTTACGCAGGCCCAGAATTTGAGGGAAATTTTTTATAAAATGTTTTATAGATGGCATCTGGATCCTAAAAAGCTGTCCTGTATGTACCCAAACCTGCAACCTAAATGTTGGAGATGTGGTTGCTTGGATGCAACCTATTTTCATGTTTGGTGGACTTGTAAAGTTATTAAAGCCTTCTGGATTATGATTTGGTGGAACATTCAAAAGGTTTTTAAAAGGAAGATTAAGTTTACTCCCCAACTGTTTCTTTTGGGAATTTTTGTGGATTTTAATGTTAAAGAAACTATTTTAATGTTGAATTTAATAACAGCAGCAAGATTACTGGTGGGTCAATATTGGAAGAAGGATACTCTGCCTTCTTTAGAAGAATGGGTATTTAAGGTTTCTAATTTAGCAGAAATGGCTAAAATTTCTGCTTATTTAAAGGACCATTCACAAGAGAGATATTTTAACGTATGGAGAAGATGGATAGAATATGTTCAGAAGAAATATGGAACTACAAAGTTTCACTTATTCTATGAGTAATGATTTTGTTTATAAACTTATGATGTTAAAGTTTGAAGAGAGTTAAGGGTTTTTATGATTTTGTTCATTGTATAATTAGTAAACTTAAATAGATTATGTTTAATATGTTTGCATAATCCTGTATTTTGCTCTGGGAAGTTGGGGGGGAGGGGGTGGGGGGAGGGGGTGGGGGGTGGATGGTTTGAAGTTTAAGTAGTTCAGATAAAGTAGAAATAGTCTTATTGTATATAATATTAATGTTTTAATTTTGAGAGAGGAACTGCTCGGGCATTTCCCCTGGACCGCATCAAAAGGGAGGAGAAGAAGGTGAGAAGTAAGTAGGAAGGTTGAGGTGAAGGAGGAGAGGGGGGTGAGTGAAGAAAAAGAGGGAAAGAAGTAAGTTGGTTTGAGGTGGGATGCGGTTTGGGGGGAAATGGGCAGGCAAGACTGAATGTGGTGTGTATCAATTTGTTTTATTTTTTATCTGAAGTATTTGTAAGATTGTTATGTATTGTAAAATTGAAAATAAAAATTTTTACAAAAAAAGAAAATACTGGACTGTGCTGAAATGGATAGACTTACACTGAGAATCAAAGAAAAAGAAGACACAAAATATTTTCAAACATGGAACTTATCTTATCAATGGCTGGAAAAAACAAGATAGAGAGTAAGAACTTAACTTCTATTACTAAGCAAAAAATTAACCCAGAAAACAAGTTGTTCATTAAGCACGAATGAAGTGTAATAATAGAAAATTAATAAAATATTTTTTTTAAAAAAAGTTCCTCATGATAGAAGGAAGCGTGATCCTCAAATCCAGAACATGAAACAAAATCCACTTCACTTAAATGATCTCTCTACCACTTATATAAATGCCCAATGTTATTTTTAAAAAACGAGGGAATTAAAGTAATGTTATTAAAGCCATGAAATTACTCTCAAGCTGTACTTCTGCAGTGCTAAGTGCACTTACTAGAGAGTGATGGAACTTAATTCTGGGTCAATCTGGATTGCAAAATATTAGCAGTCTAAGGGACTTTGTATTCTCAAAGCTGCAGTAGTATACTATGAAGTTCTATTTCCTTATGTGCACAGTAAGGATTACTTGCTTACCATATCACTTTCTGAAATGCTGGAAATACTGGCAACATCAAGGGTCATTGCTATCGTCACAGGTTTTCCTAGGAAATGAAAAAAAAAGTTCCATTATAATAGCGAAATGATATTTCTTGTTGTGTGCAGCAGATTTTTCTCACACATCTCCAATAACAGACACTGATTTCAAGGAACAAGAAGAACAATGAAGGAGTCCAAAAGCAGCATCCTAGCACACAGAAATTTCTTAGATAACCTAAAGCAGGAGTAGGCAACCTTGGCTCTTTTATGACTGGTGGACTTCAACTCCCAGACTTCAACTCCTGAGCATGACTGGCTCAGGAATTCTGGGAGTTGAAGTCCACAGTCATAAAAGAGCCAAGCTTGCCTACTCCTGACCTAAAGCATAACCATTATTTCATTTTCCATGATAATCCCCTGCAGCTCAGCAGATCAATATATGGTTCCTTACATTAACCAAAGGCATATATCCCTAATTCATGGATATGTTTATCTGTGCACAGAACACCTGGAAGGTTACATCCACAAAGCCATATTTTCATGAAAAAATAACAGACTGTTATAGAAACATATGTTTCTAACTCCACAGTTGAAGGTTGGGGAAATGAAATGAGAATTGGTGACTGGATTGAGCCCTGTTTTAAATGTCAGGCAAAGTTAAAGTTCTTCCCACACCTAAAGAGCAGTTGTTAATAAGAGTTCTGCTCAAAATTATTGATTCTTCATCCTGTATCCATTTAAGGACAAATGGAACGGACCTAATGTTTTTTTTTAACCACTGAAGCCAAACAATACATACTTTGGCTATACATGCACTAATATTAAGAAAAATTGTTAGGATTATGGAAGATGGTTCTAAAAACTTCATCCAGCCTGCTCATACTATGTGACTGAACAAAAGTGCTGATGCTCTCTCATCCTAGCCCAGCTTTCTCCACTCTGGTGCTATCCAGATGTATGGGCTGGAAATTATGACACTTGATGTCCAAACAGTTTGAGAGCGCCAGGTTTGCAAATCAGTTCAAAGTACTTTTTAGTGGAGAGGTGATCTAAGCATTTAGACTGCATGAATCAAAATCTTTTTGCCAATAGAAACATTCACTTCAAGAACCTTTTCAGGTTTTAACTTGAGTTTAAATTAGAATTGAGACTTGAGTTGTTGAAATGAATCATATGGCTCAGGGATGGGCAAGGAATAATAGTCTAGCTATGGTAGGAACAAATTACACCCAAAAGTCTAATATTAAAGTTATTCTTCGGTAGCAAAGTAAGAAAATAATTTCTTCCTCCAAGGACAAATGATTACGGTACTTTGTTTTTACTGAATCACAGAAATGACCTACCACCAAAATTTGGCCGGAGATATTTGTTATATCCCTTAGTGAGGTTCCCAAATCCAGGAAGGTAGGATGTAACTGGATAGTCAGTGCTGTGAACTTTTTGACACAAAATAAACTTTCTGAAAAGGAAAAAAAATAGTATAGTAGTAGTGTAGCTTAACTGCCATAAAATTGTTTGTGCTGGCCATTAACCAAATAAAGATTATTTTACTTGACTTAGCTATGAAGTTGTAGTCCTGCTTCTCACCTCATATCAAGTACCAAATATAAATTTGCAGCATTTACCCATTGTTCTCTAAAAAAGAGTACAATATGTTACATTAGCCCTCAACAATATTAAAATAATTGATCACCAAATTAGTAATGGTGGTAGAAGAAAAAATGGGACGAACTTAACAAGACATTATTTAGCAATATCACCAACAAAGCAGTCTATGATCAAAGGTAGTCATATATGGACTCTGCAAAATTTAAATAATATTCCTTAAGTATTTTGTAGAGATTAAAAAGGGGCTGCTTTATAAAAATGTGTATTGAAATAAAAAGAGCTCCCCTTTTTAAATAATGTTTAGGGAAGGAGGAAAAAGCATTTAACCTGTGATTCTGACAGATTAGGATTGCCCACTTAACTAGATTAAGTAACAGTAATTGATACTGACTCATCAGAATACATGATGTCTAATTAGGTAGAACCACTTGAAAAGGAGATAAACAAAACAGGGGATGGAAGGTGATAATTGCAACAGAAGGAGAAATGAAAGCAGGAATGAAGCAGAGCAAAAGTAACAACAAATATAGGATTAATTAGAGGAGAGGTTCCAGATGTCACTTCCTTGGAATATTAATTATGAAAATCTAGGGAATGCATGGCTCAGTGTCCTTGTTGTGAGAAGAATTCAAACAAAATATTAATACTGAGTTCTTTTGAGCTTGGAACATCAAGCCATTGTGTCTGCATTGGGAGATACAGCTTCCTTTCTGGCTGCACCAAGATAAAAATAATGGCTAAGACAGTGGATAATGCAACACAACAAAGAACTTCAAAAGCCCTTAATGAGGATATGGATTAGTTATCCCAACCAAGCAAGAGTTATTGTTGAACGCCTCCCTTTTGCTGGAGTTTGGCCTGGAATGCATAACAGTGCTCATCTGCCATCAAAAAACAATCCCCAAGTGGAAATTCATTTTCAACATGAGAGGAGGAAGAGGTAGAGAAATAATAATAATAATAATAATAACAACAACAACAACAACAACAATAAAGCTTTATTATCACTTTGAATGTGCACTAATCAGCATATATTAAAGTGAAATTTCGTTGCATACAGGGTCACCACCTCCAATACAGATTACATAAATATGATAAAAGTAAATAAATAAATACAGAATATACCCACATATATTACATGACACAGAGAAACAACACAGTCTAGTTCAGATTATGTATACATGTGCATGGTGAGAAAAACAAATCTTGCGAGTTTACCAGAAGGATGGCATAGGGAAACAAAGCTATTACAGAATTAGGTAGCTTTCTGACCAGAGTTTGAAATACTCATCTAGTATTTAGATCAGGGGTCCCCCAACCCCCGGTACATCAACCGGCACCGGGCCACGGCATGCCAGAAACTGGTCCGTGCAAACAAGCAAAGCCCCATCTGCAGGATGCAGGCAGTACATGAAACCACACCCCCTCTGGTCCACGGAAAAACCTCTCTCCACCGAACCAGTCCCTAGTGCTCAAAAGTGTGGCGACCTCTGATTTAGATGATAAACTTATTCACTTCCCTTCTCTCATGGTACAATCTTGGGTAATAAGAATAGGGAAGTAGGAACAGGAATTTTTTTAAAAAAATGATAATAGGAATATTGTAGGAATGGATAGTCTTCTGCCAATTGCTACAAGAGTTTTTGGAGCAAAGCCTAGAAAGCATTGGACTGAAATATAACCTTCATATTTGTACGCAAAGGATGCTTGCCCTTTATAAGATGAAGAGTCAGAGTAGAAAATGGGACATTTCTATGTGTATATGTTCATGTGGGTGGGTGTGGATGAGTAGGATAGGAAAGGCTGTCCAGAATGAGAGAAACCTGTTACTTCTGCATTGTAGGAGTAGTATGTATGCTTCCAAATCAGTGTCCTTATAGTTTTATTGGCAAGGTTTCAGAATTGTTTAGTCATTGCCTCCTTTGTAGGGTCGAGAGAGAGGGACTGGCCCGAAGTGACCCAGCTGGCTTTTGTGCCTAAGATGGGAGTAGAACTTACAGTCTCCTGGTTTCTAGCCTGGTGCCTTAATCACTACATCAAACTGGTTCTCAGTATTGTATGGGAAGAACTGTGATAGTCTAGGGTGGTAAAAAAATCAAGAGTCTGACAGCACCTTTATTTCTCCTGAACTCTTTGCTTCTATTTTTACCAGAGTCATCCTGTTTAGATAATCCCAAAGATGGTGAAGGCTACCCATAACTGTTTCCATTGTATGGGAAGGGACTTATTCTGGCTGGAAACAATAGCAGGCAAGCACTTTGCACCTTTCTCTGGACTAAGAGAACAATCAAAAGGATGGAACAAGTGACTCCCCATTGTCCAAGTTCAGGGCTCTGCTTGTTAGAATTCAGGTATTGACAACAACAATCACAAATGCCTAGGACAGGGTATGGCATGTGTCCAAATGGACAGCAAGCATAAAAACATTTCATAATAAATCAGAACCCAAAAATGAACTACTGCAGTCCCCAGTATAAACCATTATCTTCTTTTTGCCTTACTTCTAATCTCTAAGCAAACAGGGACAAAGTCCATGTGGAAGCACTTTGATCTGAACAATAAAATATTTTCATTGGGAATGTGGGAGGATTTTGATTTTCTTGCTGCTCAAGAATAGCTGCTCTTATTGTCAACAAACACAATCCTAGATGGACGCTGGACAAAGAAACTGTCCAGATTTTTTTGCATGATGTCTCCCATGTTTTCAAATGGAAACAACTATTTGGATATATTCCTAATATAAGATACCGTTTCAGAGCAATCATTTCAGTGGTTCTACTCTCTGTGAATCCCATGACTGGGATGAAGCACAAAATTCCCTTGTGCTCATTTATGTTCCCAAACATATACAACGGTTGGCAATATTCCATGACTATTGAAAGCTATGGAGTCACCAAAATTCTTTCTTTTCTGGGAAATATTCAGTCTTCTTTTGAAAGTTTTTTTTTTAATTTGCCTGACTGAGATATTTGTAACTAAGAAGCTGGTTCACCAACAAACTGTGCCTTCCTCCAAAGAAGACCCCTTGTCCCTGAACAGAAGTCAGAAAAGCAGAGGTGTTTTTTTTTTTTAAAAAAAAGAGTCACTCAAAGCAAAATTCTTTTGACCCTGGTACAGAAGACCATGTCAACAACAACAGAAAATATTAACAGGAGTGCCTATACAAAGGAGTCATCTTTGAAAGATCTTTGCATTTTAAGAGAAAATAGGGAAATCATAAGCACAGAACATTACATATACCTTTTTTGCTGATTATACTTCCTGATCAGAAGAGAGCTGAAAGTGTAGTCAGACCAGTAAAATACTGGTTAGCAACTTTAGAAAATAAATAGCTGTTTCTATTTCTCAGGCCTGCACTTTCCATTGTAGTGGTGGTGCAATGGAGTGAGATGAAGTTTATGCACCTTGCTAAGCTTGGGTTGCAAAGATAGGCATGAGCACTAAGTGGCATCCTAGAATTACTTTTATCTCTTTTCTGCCCTCTAGCGGTCATCTGGATATGGTAGTGTGGAACTTGAACCTTGGATTTATTCTAGAGAAAAAAATGGGGCTTTTGCAAACTGTAACATCATGTATGTTTGTGTCCAGCTAAAAGAAAGAATGACTAGCGTATCTCGGTGGGCAAACATTATGACACCATAAGCTAAAAATGAATTCAACATACATTGAGAAAGTTTATTCTTCCATGAAATGTATTGCGAGGTAAATAAGCATAGAACTCCAGCCTGAAAATGGCATGAATTTGAACTGGGCAATCCTATGCTGCCTACTCAGAAATATGCTTCTCTAAATTTACTACAAGGAAGTGACTATAGAATTACAGCCTTCCTCTGTCTGGAGTTTGCATGAGTGATGGCTGTCAGTTTCCATGTGCAAAGGCAGAGAAAATTCAGCTCATCTTGTACACGCCTGTTAAATGGGAGACAGAATCTGAACAGTGAGGTGGGTATGTATGTGGCCATTAGCTTTTCCAGGATCCTGATATTAAACTCACGCTGAGATGTACAGTCACTGTTTTCCAAGTTGTCATTATACATTGCACATTAAACAAAGATCTAATTCAAAAAGCAGCCAAGCTCTTTGAAAAATTGGTATTTTGAGACATTGATAAGCAAATGGATCATCCCCATCCTTTGGAGATAGAATATTTCAAAGCGTGTGTGTGTGTGTTTGTGTGTGTGTATAGAATTATAATTGTCAGAATATTTCATTTTTAGTCCTGCTGGCTACTGCTGCTGGAACATCTGGTGAGCTGATACCTCCACCTTGATATAAACAGTTGTTTGGGGTCATCCTGTACTGGGATTTACTAGTTTGTTATCTTCCTATTAATAAAAAAATTATCCCATGGGAAAAAAGAGTTTTCCACATTATTCTTAGTCCGGAATGCTTCTGAATCCTTGTCTATAATCTCTACAATCTGGAAATCTGACTTAAAACATTTTAAACTCCTCATATGGCAGGCCCCCAAAACTATTTGGATTATATATTTCATACTAAGTCATCATCCTGGGCTCTAAAATCAACTGAAGTGGTGACTGTAGCCCTGATATCACAAGGTGTATAGCACTTGGAAGAATTGCAATGTCTGGCATGAATAACATCTGAAAGAGTAAAGACATCAGCCTCACAACCAAATGGAGGTTAGTCAACACAATAATTTTTCCAATTGCTACCTATGGCTGCGAAACTTGCAGTCTGAAAAAGGCAGATAGGAGAAGGGTAGATGCCTTTGAACTGTGGTGCTGGAGGTAACTATTATACATCCCATGGATTGCAAAAATAACAAAGAAAAAAGTCCTAGATCGAACCTCACCAAAAATATCTCTTGAAGCCAACATCGCCAAACAGAGGCTGTCATATTTTGGTCATGTCATTCGAGCTGACTCATTCGAAAAGTCAATCATGCAGGGAGTGATCAGCGGAAAAAGGAGAATGAGCCACTATAAAGGATGACACCCGGATCATGGAGGATCTGAAGGAGGCGGTGTGAGACAGAGGGGCATGGAGAGTGCTGATCCATAGAGTGGTTGAGGGTTAGACTGAATGACTGAAGACTAGGTCATTTCTTCCAAACCCCAGCTATTTCAAAATGGATTAACTGTAGTAAAAGATGAAGAAATGTGCCAATTGTAGTTTCTCATAGCATCTTATTTTTTCAGGCTAAACCCTCTGTCCTGCTTTTGCATCAATCTGCTCATTTTTCATAGTACAGACATAATGTGCACATTTTAGCAGCCATTTCCCTAATATAATATATTTCTCTATGTGTATTTCACTGCCCCATGAATTTTTATACATACTTTTCTCTATTCATTTATTTTAGATGCATGTTTTGATTGGAGAAGTGAATCACAACACTCAGAATAAAGTGAATTTCAAAAGGTCTCATGTTTAGGAACTGAAGATAAGGAAGATTTGCATTAAAGTATAAACTGAATACATCTGAATAAACTGAATAAATATACTCCTCCGTTGAATGTATTTTTCAACTTACCCTTGACACAGAAGAAAGAGCCACACAAGGCTGGAGAAATAATAACTGCAGTGCATTTGTGAAGATTATTTGGTGCTGGGTGTAATTCTTCAGTTATAGTCTGTGAAGAAAAGCAGAGAAACGACAAATTTAATTTTCTAGCAAAACCCTACAGTAGCAAAAGAGGCCATTACATCAACTTACTAAAACTAAGATTTTCTATCTACTCCCACACTAGATAATTCTTTTTTAACGGTGTTTCTCAATCCTGACAGCTTTAAGATCTGTGGGCCAGGTTGGCTAGGGAATTCTGGGAGTTGAAGTCCACGCATTTTCAAGTTGCCAAAGCTCAGAAACACTGATATAAAATAACACTTCAGATCATATCCAGTTTTGCTCATATAAAGGCTATCTCACCTGATTTTTTTTTTTTTTTGTCTTTCAGCTAAGAGACCTGCATACTTCATACTAAAGAAAGAATTTTAAATTCAACAGCTAGAATTTATATTTTTAAAAGAGATGAGTGGCTGGGTTACATATATTTGCTTGCTTCCTCCCACAACCTTAGGCACATTTATTATCACCTTAGCCAGGATGATACTAATTTGCATGTCTGAAAGATCCCCATCAAGCCAGTTATTAATAGACATAGCACATTTGGATATATTCCCCACTATCAACCTGAGCCTAATGCAGCATTTTTAAAACTCCAAAGTTGCCTTTAATTTCATACAGCTTGGCCTACCAAAACGTTGCCTCTGTAGATGTTGAATTTTTTTTTCTCTATAAATAAATATGTAACAGTCAGTGCCTTTTAGGACTGTATTAGCTTGTTACGTGCTAGCTTAATAATTTGCATTTCTCCATTAACCTGCAATATCTCTAGCTAACTATCAGCGTTCCATATTTAAATCTAACTCCAAGATACATCTGTATTTAAATATTTGTTTTACAAATTTTTTATGTATTGATATCTATTTTAGTTTAGTTTAGATTAATATTAGCAGAGAGTGACTCTTGAAGCATTTATGCAGCTATGTTTATGGAAACTGATGAAATATTTAGTAGAAAGTGTTCCAGATAACTGTGCATTTTAATTTCATGAAAAATGTTTTAATTTTTGATTGAAAAAAATATAGTCCATCTCCAGACAAATCTGGTGCTTAATTTTAACTGGATGCTGGAAACTGTGGCTCAAAAGGTCTGGAGTAAAAACAAACCCAGCTAAAGAGGTGGAAAGTCACCAACTCAACTTATAGTAGCCTCTGGGTGAAAGTTGGTTTTTGATGTTGCCACAGTCTGTTGGTTCATTTCTGAAGGTATTGTTATTTGGAACAAAGTATTCAAATGAACTGTTTTTAAGTGGTTCTGTTGACTTTTCTGGGAGTGGACATGACCCCTTGGCTTTAGGCCTAGAAAATATAAAAAATTAAACTCATCCAGCCATGAGTGGTGTGATACCTGTTGCCTTTGTTTTATGTTGTGCAGGACCTTCTTGTTCAGCAAGAGAAAACAATGGAACAAGATTACCTCAGGGGATGTGTATTTCTCAGATGTTTCAAAAGGTATGCCCTTGAAAAGCCCTTGTAGTTTTTTGGGAGTGTATTTCTTTCACAAAAAGATCATTAATGGTAGACCAACATCTCTGAAAGGCATCTGGCCACAAGAATGCTCATCATAGGAACAAATCAAATGCCACTCGCAAATCATTGAGAGCCAGAGCTTGAACTGTGTGGTCTATTTGTGCCTTTCTTTAGTTTCTGTGGTACAATCTTGACTGGATAGAAATTTCAACCAGGATTTCCGGGAACTGTTGAGAAAAACTGTTATAAAATAATGTTGAATAACCTTATCCATTGATATCCCACCTCATATCTGATTAATTTTGTTCTCTTTTTTCTACTTCCATTTTAAAGAAAGAGATAATAATTTCAAAACAAACTACATAAGAATAGACGCTTGTACACTCTTCTTTTTTAAGGGGATATTGTTACTCAATATTGACCAATGGGAAAGAAAAAAAAGCTCTTTGATGAAGATTCTCAGTCATCCAGGTAGAATTGTCTGGAAGTTGAGTCCTGGCAACTAGACTTATTTTCTTCTTGGTTTGAGACATTTTGCTGACCATCCAACAATTCCAGTTGGAATCCTTGTTCAAATATTCTGGCCAGTTTAGCATACGTTCTCTGCTTGGCTTATGAAGGTTGCTGTTATTGTTGTTGTAAAAGGAGGCCCCGTGCCACTCCCCAAAACCCAACATTTAATGGCATCCCTCAAAATTTATGTTTAGACCATTAAATGCATTCCTGCTTTTAACAGACATGACTCCATGGCTGCATTCCCGATCATTAACAAAACACAATTCAGATAGTAATATGATTCAGAAAACCATTCCAATTTTATTTAGGCATTTAAATTGATTGATTTAAATTGATTTGGTGTTTTTTTTTTTTCTGAATCCATGAGAACTAGAATGGGACAGAAGACACACCCTCTGGCTGTGTTAGATCATAGCTTCCACAACTAATACTGAGTTGATTGTTCAGGCTGTTTGCTAAAAATTATGGGATTTGTATTAGGGCTTCCATACTTAGGCTGCAAAAATCTGCAGTGCAGCAGTGCAGAGATACAGAAAACTTTCTGTTTGCAGCTGTCTAGTGGTTGGCCAGAATTTTTTTTTAACCCAGACATCATAGTCTTAATTTATATTCAGACCCATAAGGAGAGTGAGAAGCTATGGAATGCTATATGGAATGCAGTATTAGTTTTAGTTGCCTTTGAAATGATATATATATTTTCTTTTTAGTAAACATGCTTATGTTTGCACCATGTGCTATTTCTGATTACACCAGATTAATAATTTACACAATTAAAAAAATGAAGAAAGCGGCTTGGTATCACAAATGTTCACTAAAAACAAACTATAATTTGAACATATTCAGCATAACAAAATCTATTTTAACTACTGTATATGCCATGAAATATGCATACACATTGCAGAAAAAAGGTTGGGGAAATATATTAAGATGCTGATTCAAGAGCCAAGAGTATTCTTGTAGGGGAAATGAGTGGCATAGAAATCTAATAAGTAAGTAAGTAAGTAAGTAAGTAAGTAAGTAAGTAAGTAAGTAAGTAAATAAATAAATAAATAAATAAATCTGTTCAGAGACTTGAGAACATTTTTTTAAAAATCAAATCAACATTCCAGAAATCAATGAGATCAACCAATCTGCAAGTGTTCTTTTCTTGTCCTTTTTCAGAAGTTGTAACTATCACAATTCTCTCTTTAAAAAACAAACAACCACCACCATAACCATAATCATAGCTAATATTTTTTTCATCCAGATTTGCACATCACAGCATGCAAAAGCTAGCACGTGGCCAGGCAGACTTTCAAATCATGTGGCCCCTTGTCTTCTCCTTCTCCCAGGCAGTAAGTAATTTAATCAGTGTTCAATCTCATGCTGATATAATATCAGTTTGTTATTTTGAATGAACCAAAGATGGTGATTCGAAACAAGCTCTGATGAGTAAATCAGGACAGTTTTATGCCCCCTGTTTCAGATTGTTTGGCTTTGAAATTGCCAGCCCTTCACGGTGGACCAAATCGGGAAACAGGCCTGGAGTCTGAAGCTGTGTGTAGTAAGGCCAGAAATATGTGAAACTATTTGAAAAGCAAAAGAGCTCAAAGTTGAGCTAATGCATTCTTTGTTCATGGAAAGTAGCCATGTCTAAGTCAGCCTTAACAGGCGGTATTGCTCAGCTGATCTGACCCAAATGTAGGTAGTGTTCAGCTTATGACAACAAATGAGCCCAAAATTTCTCTTGCTAAGCAAAACAATTGCTAAGCAAGTTGTGCCCCATTTTGCAACCTTTGTGCGAATCGCTGCAATTGTTAAGTGATCTATGAACAAGTACTTTTATAACTCCTATAGGTAGTCTTCGCCTTACAGCAGTTCATTTAGTGACCATTCAAAATTTCAACGGTGCTGAAAAAAGTGACTTATGACCAGGGCTTTTTTTGTCATAGAACGCCCAGAATGGAGTTCCGGCACCTTTTTTGGATGGAACCTTGTACGGTAGACAAGACGGGTTGTATGATGTGTGTGAGTTCCGGCACCTTTTTTTTTTTTTTTTTTACAAAAAAAGCACTGCTTATGACCATTTTTCACACTAATGACCTTTGCAGCATCCCCATGATTACATGATTTACATTCGGATGCTTGACAACTAGTTCATATTTATGACCGTTGCAGTGTCCCAAGGTCATGTAATCCCCTTTTGTGACCTTCTGACAAGGGAAGTCAATGGGGAAGTCACACTCACTTAAGAACTGTGTAACTAATTTTACATCTACAGTGACTCGCTTAACAAATGTCGCAAGAAATGTCGTAAAACGGAACGAGACTCATTTAACAAATTTCTCTGCAACATTTTGGCCATAAGCCGAAGACTAACTGTACTTGCTTTAAAACACATTTGGGGTTCTTCCAGCCTCATGTGAGGACCCACCTTTGTCCAGGCCTGAATAAACGGGTGACTTAAACTCTGTCTCTTTGTTTGGGCCCAAGTTGCGCCTGGTTCCCTGCTTGACATTATGGATATGTTTATTGGGAAGAGAGGGGATTACCACCTAGTGGTGCTCATTTGAAAAATGTAGAATGACTTATCAGGAGCCCTGAGGAACCGAGACTGCCAGTTGATTGACACTTACTAACCTACAGCAAATGTGAGTAAAAAACCTCCTATAGCAGTGATGGCGAAGTTTTTAGAGACCGAGTGCCCAAACTGCAACCCAAAACCTACTTATTTATCACAAAGTGCCAGGGCTGCATCAGTATTATGGTGCCTCAGGGGGGGCGTGGGGCATGGCCTACTGGGTGGGTGTGGCTGCAGTGGTCATGGCAGACTGGTTGAGCGTGGCCAGGGCCAAGTCGGTGGGGGCCAGTCCCTCGCCATCCCGGGTGGCCAACGCCACTTGCTCACTCACTTCCTGCCCTGTCGCTTCCAAACATCACATGCTCGCTACTCTGGCGAACTCCACTGGGGCAACGGCGCGCATGCCCACAGAAAGGGTTCTGAGTGCCGCCTCTGGCACATATGCCATTGGTTCGCCACCACTGTCCTATAGACTTCACCATCAACACAGGTTGCTTGTTTGTGGGGGTGAGGGGGTGGCTGCCTTGCCGTGTGTGGCTTCATCCTTTGTAACAGCATTCATATTCTGGTTCCATACCACAAAAAGACTTGTCTCTCATCCTCTATTTCTAGCTCTACACCCTTCTCCCTGGAGGTAAGCATTTGAACTGACTTCAGACTTCATTTTCATTTTCATAAATGAGCAGAAACACTTTTAGCCCTGCTGTTGGACAATCTCCTTGGGCCTGTCCCTGTCCCAGTTCTCTTGGATCTTACAAGAGGTTTCTCTCCCATCAACCCTGATATCCTGCTGGCCATCCAACAGACATGGCAATAAAGTGATCATAATCTAACATAATCCTAATGGTTGCTATGAGATTCATGTTCCTTTCTGTAAAACCCATCCTGCAGGCTTCCAAGAGGTTCAGGTGTATCCTCCTGCTTTTCCCCAAATGCAAGATGTCATGGGAAGAAGTTTGCAAGGAATTTGGAGAATCAATGGGACTTGTGACTAGTCCTCACTCTTATGACTGTTCCAGCATCCTCACAGTTACATGACCAGAATTCGAGGGCTTGGCAACCAACATGCATTTACAACGGTTACAGCAGGGGTCCCCAATCCCGGTCCATGGACCGGTACTAGGCCGCAGCATGCCAGCAACTGGTCCGCACAAACAAGCAAAGCTCCATCCGCAGGATGCAGGCAGCACACAAAACCACGCCCCCTCCATGGTTTTTGGGGACCTCTGGGTTACAGGATCCAGGGCTGTGTGATGGCCATTTGTGATCTTCTGAGTCAGCTTCCAACAAGCTAAGTCAATAGGGAGGAGGATTTGCTTAACAACCATGGGAGTAACTTAACAACTGCAGTGATTTGCTTAACAACCATGCTCAAAAAGTTTGTAAAATCAGGTGCAACTCACTTAACAATTACCTTGCTTAGCAGCAGAAATTCTGGTCCCAATTCTGGTTCTTAATTGAGGACTACTTGCATTTGTCATATCTTTAGGCTGCGTCCTATTCATCCTTATCATTCCCTGTTCATCTTGCTTCATCTATTACAGGTCCACCGGGAACCAGGCAATCTGAATCAATGGCAAAGAATGGCCAGTTGTTAGGACCCAAGGAAAGGCCAAGACCATCTTTTCATTGTTCAGCTTTGAGTTGATTTTTGATCATAATACAGACACACTCAAGGGATTCTTTTTTTCCCCACCAGTTATTACAGTTAATCAGGAAGGGCAAGACCATGCTATCCTTCAAACAAATTGAGACGAGAGAAATAAGTCTCACCAGATCTTCCTCTCCCTTCCAACTATAATTTTATTGCCTCCCCTTCTCTCTCAGCCAGCAGCAGTGAGGTATAGCAGCAAGTTGTGATCCATTCTTTCCCATTCCATATGCCATTTGTGTGGATTGGACTGCAACTCCTAACATTGGCAGCCAGCATGACCAATATTCAAAGTTGGTGCATACAAAATATCTGGGAAGACACCACGCTGGAGAGGGCTGCTATTGTGACTGTAAGAAGCCCTTTAAAAATAGATAGAACTCTCAGAACAATACATTAGCTCTTGCAGGGCAATGTGCTGTAAACAAAGGCAGCTAAAATTAAACCACCCAAGAAGACAGATGAAAGGAAGAAAAAAAAATTACTTACGTTCAGTTCATCCTTCTCCTGCAAACCGTCTACTTTTCTTCCTGAGCTGTCAGTCCATTTATTTGTAGCTTCAGCCAAACTAAAAAGCTGTGTACAAGTGTCTCTGCTTTTCAAACTCTTATATAAATTGGATTGTTCCAGTGACGTTCTCACAAACAAATGGTCCCTTTTTTTTTTGGTTTCAGCTAATCTGCTTCCAGTCACTTCAATCTGAGATCAATCAGCTTGTAATCTTTCTTAAAAATGGATTTTGGTGCTTTAGTTGCCACCCAGTCAGGTGGAGCCCCTTTCCGCAGAGGGCACAAGTTGCAGTTCAAGTAGCAATCTGCAGGCTTGCTTAGAACTTAAACCTGTCACGCTATTTGCATGGCCGCACCTCTTCCCTCTCCCATTGCCTTTACCCATTCATCATATGATGTCCCAACATTTTTCCCCAAAGAATTTTTCTCTCTTAGATCATCAGAAACTGTTCGCAGGTGAATTTAAGTTCTGTTCTTGGGCATAGATCTGCTGCCCCTTTTATATTATCATATGCACACTGTTATATATGTTAAGTCTTTTACCACTCTGAAGCTTTCCTCCCCATATGGTGGTCTTGGAGGCACATAGAACTAACTCTGATCATCCCCAGATGGCTGCTAGGAGTCATAATCAGCACATCTCACAGCCATCAACTGGAGGTGGGCTAATAGACAGCCTATGGAATGCTTGTCTGTCACTAACCTGAACACTCTATTCAGCTATTGTTATTTTGTTCTGGTGCCATTGACAGATTTACGATAAGAGTGGCTATGCACATTTACCTGTGAAAACAGTGGGTCTTCCCTCTACCCGAATGGGCATTGAGTTGTACTCTAAAAATAATAAGAGTAAAGAAATATTAGCTTCACACATCGAGTACAGGTTTTAGTTGAAAAATGGCCTACCATTGCCCCTTGCCATTGAAGACAATAGCTGGTGAGTGAGTTACTGGTCTTTCAGTTGCCATACCCCTGGTGAGCTATATTCTGAAGGGGGGAAATGTTGATCCTCCCTCATTCATATTTCACACACACACATTATACAAACAACCTTGTTAAAACAGGCTCATAGCTCACTATCTCAATAGGGCAGAGTGCCATGTGCTTTATCCCAACAACGATTAAATCTTTGGTGTTTTGCTATCTTACCCACTTTTGATCATATTACATGCTGCTATCAGAATGAGGACGACTATGTTGTTGATGATGATGATGATAAAGAATACAATGGCAAACTGCTATTGGCAAGAAAATGACATAGAGTGTAGTTGCCACGAGTGAAGTTTGACTCAAGGGTGCTTTCACTACTGACACTAATACTACAGCTGTTACTGTCATAATACAATGGACACTTGAATCTGACACGGATGAAGACCATCAGTCCAATTGTCCTTGTCATGGCTTTCTAAATTGAAGTAACTGTGTATTTCTGAAAAGATTAAAGGGTACAAAGAGACACTGATATATATATAAAAAAATCCTCACTTTATATCAGGGATATCATGGAGCTATATTCCCTACAGAAATAGTGTATCTCTTTAAGCAGGGACACTGGACAGCCATACATGAAATGGAGGGGAAGGGGAGCTGTGTATTATTTGCATTGAAAACAATGTTAACTTCAAAGACCCTTGCACTTCTACAATTCTCAAGCTAGTCCCCAGCAGCTACTGAGAACAATATTTATTTCCTGCTTAGAATTACAGCCATGGGTGAATCTTTCAGTCTAGGCTTTAGCATACTTGAATAAAGAAGATCTTCTTGAAGCGCAAAGCTGTTTGTTATGATAAGAGTGTTCGGAACAAATGCATATATTCAGTTTTAATGGTAGCCATGTGACCCACATATCATCTCCCAGCCTGGCTTCTACAGTAATATACATGACTGCAAGCTTCTGATTTGTGATAACTGTTCACATACTGCATGAAACAATTTTGCACATTACAACACAAAACTTATGATTGCAATGAGTTTGAATTTGTCCTATGTGTCTATCCTGGTATTTAACAGTGGCTCTCAGGTTAAAAAAAATAAGAACAGAATCAAAGCACAAATATGATGCTTACATATAGAATATTAATATGAATTCAATGTTGAATATTTCAACTGAATACATTCAAGAAGATTTTTCTACCACAAAGGGAGAAGAGGTTCCATAGATAAGCATTAACCATTTTAATTTAATTTAATCAGACTGATTTCTCCAATGTTAAGGTTAGGGACATAATTCCCTGCTTAGAATAGCAATCTAACAATATAGGCTTGGTTTTCTGTAGTTACACTGGGTGAAAAATGTTTTTCCTGAAACTCAAATTTCCCCCATGTTTTCAATCGTCAACTCAGTGAAACTGAGCTGTTGGCCAAACAATCTCTATTGCTTAATCCCTATTATTTACTCTTGGCCATTTGCAGTTAAACTTCAAAATGAGAGAGGGAATTATTCCTATTGGTTCAAAAGATTCCCATATTTTTTTTTCATATATATGAGAATCAGTGTGTCAAAAGATATATATCTGTACGATTTTCTTCAGTGAAGAGTGGAAAGCAGAAAGGAGCCCAGGGAGGAGAGAGAAGGGCTGCTTCATTCTTTGAGTATAATAATAATAATACTGGTAATAATAATAATAATAATAATAATTGGGAGGGACCTTGGGGGTCATCTAGTCCAGGGCTTTTCAACTAGTGGTACAGGTACCACCTGTGGTACATTGGCACCTGGCAGGTGGTATGTGACCATCCTAGAAAAGTGGTAGCAGGGGAGGGAAATGAGCTGAATTGGTGGCAGCACCGCACAAGCCTGAGCGAGACACAGCTGGAGCTGCAGGACTGTCAGGGCTCAGTGGAAGCACCAGGATTAGTGCCGCTTTCCAGCTGATCGGTGCTTCTTTGGGGCTGTCAGGGCTCAGTGGAAGCACCAGGATCAGCACCAGGCTCCAGCTGGAACTCGGCGTTTATCCTGGCACTTCTGCTGAGCCCAGAAGAAGCGCCGATCAGCTGGAATGTTGCAGCATCTCCAGGGTCTTGTGATTTACATTCAGATGCTTGGCAACTGATTCATATTTATGATGGTCCCAGGGTCATGTGAAGTGACCAAAACCTGCTGCAACCACCCAGCAGACAGGGGGAATAAAAACAAAACATCCCCCACCCCCTCTGCCAATCCTCAACAGAAATTCTCACAACAATGAAAACATTGGACAGGAGGAAGAGCACCGCCGGATGGGCAGGCAGGTGTCTTGCTCAGCTGTGGCTAGGGGGGCACTTTTTTCAGTGCCATTATAACTTCGAACAGTCACTAAGTGAACTGTTGTAAGTCGAGGACTACCTGTACTTTATCACTTTTTTCCTTTTTTTTTTTTTTTGGTCATCAAGTTTTTGACACCTTGCTAGGCGACTGGTGGTACTCAGATGTTGCCATATCCTAAAAATGGTACAATGGGTGAAAAGGTTGAAAAGCCCTGATCTAGTCCAACCCCCTGCTGAGGCAGGAAACCCTATACCATTTCGGACAAATGGCTGTCCAGTCTCGTCTTAAAAACATTCACCGCTTCTGGGGGCAGTTTGTTCCACTGGTTAATTGTTCTGTCAGGAAGTTTCTCCTTCGTTCTAGGTTGCTTCTCTCCTTGATTAGTTTCCATCCGTTGCTTCTTGTCCTGCCTTCAGGTGCTTTAGAGCAGTGGTTCTTAACCTGGGCGATATTGCCCCCCAGGGGGCAATTTCATTTTTCAGGGGGGCGATGGAATGAAAAGGGACGATGAGGGGGCGAAGTAACGAAAAGGGGGCGATATGGGGGCGATGGAGCGAGAAGTTTTGGGGATACTTTTGAGATTTTTTCGTACAGTGAATCACTGTATATCTGTCGTACAAAAACATCAGATCGCTCGCTATTAGTGGATTGAATTGTATTTTCAAATGTTCCTCCAGCTAGCTTCAGTACAGAACACTGTACATATGTGAAGACGCATCGCTTATCTTCATGCGTGTTGCGCAGCAGCCTTTACCCATAAAGTGGCACACCATTGGCCAGAATATGGGAGATATGGGAAAAAGACTGGAAATAAATTATTTGCATCGATATGTCCTGATGACAATTTTAAAGAAAACAAAAAAAGTGTTTGCATAAATTGAAGAATTATTTCCTATGTTGTGATTGAGATGTTATGTTGGGGGAGGGGGGTGATGACAACTTCCTCATTGGCTCAAGGGGACAATTTGTTCAAAAAGGTTAAGAACCACTGCTTTAGAGAATAGCTTGACTCCCTCTTCTTTCTTGCAGCCCCTGAGATATTGGAACACTGCTATCATGTCCCCCCTCGTCCTTCTCTTCATTAAACTAGACATACCCAATTCCAGCAACCGTTCCTTATATGTTTTACCCTCCAGTCCCCTAATCATCTTTGTTGCTCTTCTCTGTACTCTTTCTAGAGTCTCAACATCTTTTTTATATCGTGGTGACAAAAACATGCAATATTCCAAGTGTGGCCTTACCAAGGCATTGTAAAGTGGTATTAATACTTCACATGATCTTGATTCTGTCCCTCTGTTAATGCAGCCTAACACTGTGTTGGCTTTTTTGGCAGCTGCAGCACATTGCTGGCTCATATTTAAATGATTGTCCACTAGGACTCTGAGATCCCTCTCACAGTTACTACTATTGAGCAAGGTATCCCCTATACCAGGGCTTTTCAACCTTTTCACCCATTGTACCACTTTTAGGATATGGCAACATCTGAGTACCACCAGTCGCCTAGCAAAGTGTCAAAAACTTGATGACCCCCCCAAAAAAAGGAAAAAAGTGATAAAGTACAGATAGTCCTCGACTTACAACAGTTCGCTTAGTGACTGTTCGAAGTTACAATGGCACTGAAAAAAGTGCCCCCCCCCAAGCCACAGCCAAGCAAAACACCTGCCTGCCCATCCGGCGATGCTCTTCCTCCTGTCCAATGTTTTCATTGTTGTGAGAATTTCTGTTGAGGATTGGCAGAGGGGGTGGGGGATGTTTTGTTTTTATTCCCCCGTCTGCTGGGTGATTGCAGCAGGTTTTGGTCACTTCACATGATCCTGGGACCATCATAAATATGAATCAGTTGCCAAGCATCTGAATGTAAATCACAAGACCCTGGAGATGCTGCAACATTCCAGCTGATTGGCGCTTCTTCTGGGCTCAGCAGAAGTGCCAGGATCAGCGGTGAGCTCCAGCTGGAGCCTGGTGC